TGTCAGACATGAAGAAGAAGAAATTAGACAGGAAGTACTCCCCAGTGATACTCACACTGTGCTGTGAATCCAGACCATGCAAGACAAACTCGTGCCCAGAGTAGCTTTATGATTTACCAGTGTTACCGTGGATAATATAATTTTCTCCCCTAACTTACTGAGGAGATTTAAAAAAGCATCAATTATTCAGTGCATGATCATATGGCCCCTAAAATATCTTGTTTATTATTTTGAAGACTGAGGTTTGGTCCTGCAAGTACAATTCCCCCCTGTTTTTTTTTAATATTGGTTAATTATAATTATCCCTACTTGATTAGTACGCGACTAGAAAACACCAATCACAAAGCATGTGATTACATTAAAAATCGTTTTCTTTAATGAGCTTTAATGTTAATCTGGATTTAAAAAATACATTTTTATTTTTGTCCATTTTATTGTCCTATTTGCTAACTCTTTTGCGCCACCGGACTTGAGGCAAGCACTGGCAAATAAAAGAAAGCATCAACGCACCAACAAAATGTGATGAATAGAAACTTTTAAATTTTACCCATATGTAATCTTTACTGGTCCAAAAATACAGCTTTGTCCAAATATCAGTAAATCATTCAAATGTGAGTTTTTTAAGCCAAATATGTCTTCAAAAAGGAAGGCTCAGTAAGTGCCAGTCAAGTAATTTTTAAATGTACAATTAGCATGAAATATTATCAAAAGATATTTGAAAAATATAAAATATTTGAAAGGTTAAGTTAAACATTCTGTTTTAAATATAGGCCCAGTTTTTTTGTTGACCATGGGATTACTACTGTTTTGTTTTACGAGCGGAGTATTAGGGACATGAAATTACGAGAATAAAGTCGTAAATATTACGCCCAGAATCAAGTCTTAAACATTACCGAGAATCAACAGTCACAAATATTGAACAAGGATAAAGTAGTAATTTTATGAGAAGCTGTCCCCAAGCCTGTTGGTTCAGCCAGCCAAACTGTTTAAGGACGAAATGATCACACGTTAGTTTAAAGCGCTGTTGACTGTAGGTATGACTGAGACAACAGTGCGGCCTGCTGGACTCAGGCTGAGGCCCCCTGCTGTTTGGTTGAGGCTTGCTCACGTCCAGGATCTTGATAACTCTTAGCTTTTTTCTCATTAAAACGATTAAAACATTAAGACTTTTTTTTGTAGAACCTAATATTATGATTTTTTCCTCGTAACTATTACGAACCTTTATATCTTTGTAGACCCTAAATATTTATGACTTTTTCCGCTCCGTAATATTACGACTTTTATTCTTGTAATATTAATGACTTTTTCCTCGTAATATTACAACTTTAATTCTTGTAAAGACCTAAATGTTATGACTTTATTCTCGTAATTTCCCCCCCCTAATAGTCCTGGCCCTAATACTCCGTCCCGTACCATTTGAAGTCTTGAGTTGAGTTAATGACCACTCCATCCACACAGCACAGTGGCGCTATGAGCCCATTCCATCTGTTTCCCCAACCCGGACAAAAAAAAAACCACAGAAGAAGAAGGAGCCCGTCAACGTGAGGAGGCCGTCCCCTCCCACTCCATGGCTGAAACAGCGTTAGGTTCCTGAAAACAGCGTGTAGCGGGTTTTAATTGCTTCTGGCTCAGCGATAACGTTGGAACATAAAACATACAACTATATTTACAGAACCAATGCGCCCGCCTGGGCCTGCAGTCCAGCAGAAGATAGCGTGTGTGCTTTGTGACCGGAGGTGAAGGAAGAACAGTCTAATGAAAACGAGACCTGTCAGGTGAAGTGGGCAGCTGGAGACACAGCTTGGCCGTAGATGATGATGATGTGATGATGATGACCAACCTGCCATTTTTAACCACAGTGTGTGTTGCTGCCTTTGCTGTCCTGAGGCTTAATGTGGCTGATGCCTTCCACTGTTGACCTGTTTGCTCCTGTCGTGCCCTTTAGGCTCATTTTCACTGTGCTGCTGAGGGGAAAATGTGCGCCCAAATATAAACTATCAACGACCAAAATAAACTTGGCAGCAAAAAGTAAGGAATTTGTGTTTGGTTGAATTATTTCTCCTGTGGTAAGCCAATGGCTTTTTGGCAATAAATCTTGTTTTGTTTAGTTGCAAGCTTGTGGGTTAAGGCAGCCCAGACTGAGGAAAAAAAATGTTTCTTGCCCAATATCTTCTCTGCCAATGCCCCCAAACCAGCTTATTGCTGCCAATTGACTCGTTTGGTGTTTGGTGGATTGGATGATTGAAGTTTGAAAGAAAACACGACATATGTGGGCAATTTTAAATTTTATTCATTTCACCGAGACAGCGAAGCCTCGGTAGCCGTGTTGGGAAGACCCCATAGCACAGCCGACAACAGCCTGGCAGCCATCCCTCCCTCATAGCTGCTCCACCAGCCCTGGTCAGCACACTGCTGTGGGATGGCATCCATTCTTTCAACCAGCAATTTGTCGCAAAGTCAGCCGACGTGTGTTGGTGTTGGCGCCACTCCCCCTGGCACGAACATCGGCAAGCGCCCAAGCTGATCCCACAAGTGTTTCAGTGGGGTTGAGTTGCAGGACTGCTGGGCCTCTCCACTCCCCACATTCCTGGGGTAGTCTCTGATAAACCGAGCCCGACGCTGTGGGGGCGAGCGTTGTCATCTTGGAGGATAAGGTTCGGTCCCAGACCTGTGGAGATTATGGGATGCCACTGGTTGCAGAAATTCATCTCTATATTTCTCCTGCACTTGAGATTGCCTCCAATGATGACCAAGCCCGTTTTTCCAGTGAGGGAGATGCCCCCCGAGCACCAATCACACTGCCTCCACAAAAGATGTTATTCATATCGGTGCAAGCAATCAGCATAGCGTTCTCGCGCGTCTTCTCCACCCCACTTTGACCCCTGCGATCCAGAATCTGGACTAATAAACATAGACGTTCCTCCACTGTTCAGGTTCCAGTGCACGTGTTGCTGAACACCAGCGCAACGGGCCTGACCGGTGGAAGGGCAGTCATGGCCAGAAGCTCCCCTGCAGCCCTAAATGAGACGGAGATTGGCTGCGTGTAGTCTGTTCCGGATTGTCTGGGCAGAGGAGCCGTCCGGCCTCATATTGATCCTGGGCAGACCTTGACCTGGCAAATCTGTAGAAGCAACAGCCCTAGCGGCCACCTAAGTGGGCTGACGGGTGAGGAAATGTCTTTCTTGGGCCGCCGCACTGCGTTGGCGGCCTGTCTTTGACATCCCGTTATATGGGAAGCTTGGCCCTTCAGTTTGGAGATGGTTACTCAGGGGCTTCACCTCCCAAAATATGCCGCAACTTGTTTTGCGGAACACCAGCTTGAAGTTCCTACTCCTTGCCCCGCATTAGTTCCATCAGGCCCAACCTGATTGGCAGCACCTGGGGGTACCAGAAGGCTCAACCCAGCAGTGTCAATAGGCAAACAGCAGAATAAACCTGTTTGGCAATTGGCAAGAAAGATTTGGCAAATTTTTCATGGGCGCAACCCATCCATCACCATGGACATAAATACTGTGTACTGAACATTTGTAGACAGACAATAGTGCAAGGATGGCTGAAATAGAATACATTATCAGGTTTCTTGGTATGTTGCCAGGTAGGAGGTAAGGCAATATACACCAGTATATACAGTATGCACAGCATGGGTAGATGTGTTGGAATGATTGTATTTTGTGTTTTAAAAAGGAAAACTGAATTCTCAACTGTGAAAACAAAAATAATAAATAGTTTAAAAGGCAGCAAAATCATCAGCATTTGACAAGCTTGGAAGCCAGCAAATATTAACAATTAAACCCCCATCTACAATTAAAGACAATTATCCAAAAGTGTTTCAAAAAAGATTCTCTTGACTGACTGATCCAAAATATCACCTGAAAATAATAATCACCGCAGCCAATATGTATTTTTGGACTTATTAATCAACATTTACTTTACATACATTTATATACTGTATGTGTTGTTGTTTGAAGAGTGCCATAAAGGGAAGTAACAACGCTGAATTTAATTACACAACCCCCTGTGTGTGTAAAGCTGGGCCAATTAAATTACTGTGGAAGGAAATTAGTTCCGACAGGGTAGAAGTTATGAAACATCCTCACTAACCTATATAATAATGTACAATATTGGAAAGGTTTATATGTAAATATTTGCATTTTTGTGCCTTTTTTTTAATATATTCATTTCCACTTAAATGTTATGGATATATGAATAACAAAAAAATTGGCAATCGCATTTTTGTTTCTCCTTAAGTCCTAATGATAGTGAACCCATGCTGTGTGTCTCTTCAGCCCGTTTCAGGTTTGTTGCCACAGAAAAAACGTGAACCCCATCCCGCTCATGGAAGCGCAACGTTGATTGCGCCGCTCCCGCCCACCCAGAGAAAATGGATGGCCACTTGCTGTTACGTTGCAGTTTATAAAAGGTGGGTATCCGTCCAGAATGGCAGCGACCATAGAAGGCCCTCATCGGAGCAAGTGACGCAGTAAATGCTACATCTTTATCGAGTAAGAAACACCCACCCCCAAAAGGTACTACTTGTAGACTGGACAGATGTGAGGGGTTGGCTGCTCTTTCTTGCTTTATATTTGGAAAATGGGTTTTATTGTTTCTGGCCAGGGCAACCTTCCGCTTCTGGGCTCGACCCCTCAGACCAGGAAACCCAACTAAACAGGCCCAGAAAGAAGGTTCAAAAAGTATCAGCATTAAATCACAGCGACGCTGTAAAAAGGTAATCTTAGCCCTTGAGTTAATGTAAGTACATGTGAAATACAAATGTTGGAGGAAGAGGTTGGACCTAGTGTTTATTGTTCTGTCTTAGGTTTGCAACGTGGAACGTAGAAGGAAGATTTCAAGGAAAGCGGTGCCCGGAGAGCGTGGATCGACCAGCCCACCAGAGTCAACAGCCCACCAATGGCGCCACGCGCCAGTGCCCGATGAGCCATGGGAGCACATTCCAGGTCCGAAGTGAAAACGGCATTCATGCTCGAAGTACAAATAAATCTAAAAGAATCTTTGAAATCATTTAGACGGGCCAGCAGGAAGTTACTTCACCCAAAAGCCTTTACTGGGCAAATGTGCGCCTGCAGGCCCCCATCCGCTTCATGGTAGACTGAATCTAAAGTGGTCATTAAGGTGTACCAACGGCAGGAGCATAAGACCCCCACACAGCCAACACCATTAAGATAATAGGTCGTGTGTAATGTTCGATAAAACACAGAACCTCACCCCCTGGCAGCCTAGAACAGAGTAAACAGTTACGAGAAATGTTGAGAAGTTCTCAGTTTGCAGTGTGATCAGAGTATCAAAGCACAAATCATGTTACACGTATGAGGGAGTTCATAACTGTGTGTTTAATGCAGAGATACCAGGAGTAATAAGATGGTAACAGACAGTAAAATTAAAACCAAATCCCCCAGCACTGGTTATGTTGAATTTGCTTTGAAATGATCTCTAAAAGATTTTGGTACACAATAGATGAAGTACCATGAACCGCGTCCCTGAGTTCCATTCCAGAACATCAACCAGTAACATTTGTAGATTAGAAAGATGGTGGAGGAACAGTGTTACCTGATAATATAATTTTCTCCTAACTTACTGAGGAGATTTAAAAAGCATCAATTATTCAGTTGCATGATCATATGCCCCTAAATATCTTGTTTATTATTTTGAAGACTGAGGTTTGTCTGCAGTACAATTCCCTGTTTTTTTTTATCATTGGTTAATTATAATTATCCTACTTGATTAGTACCACTAGAAAACACCATACAAAGCATTTGATTACATTAAAAATCGTTTCTTTAATGAGCTTTAAATGTTAATTGGATTTAAAAGATACATTTTATTTTTGTCATTTTATTGTCTATTTGCTACTCTTTTGCCACGGACTTGAGCAGACTGCAATAAAGAGAACATCAACGCACAACAAAATGTGATTAATAGAAATTTTAAATTTTAATATGTAACTTTTTACTGTCCAAAATACAGCTTTGTCCAAATATCAGTGAAATCATTCAAAATGTGAGTTTTTAACAATATGTTTCAAAAAGGAAGCTCAGTAGTCAGTCAATAATTTTACTGTACAATTACAT